TCGAGGAGGAGGACGACGAGGAGAGCTACTACCGCTTCATGAAGGAGAACCCGAACGCCGGCGTCGGCGTCCTCGCCGCCGGCTCTGATGATGAAGACCTAGTCGGGGGCGGAGGCGTTCACACCGAATACGACGACGATGGGAACCCGCTGCCCTCAAATGCGAAGAAGCTCATCGACCCGCTGCCGATGATCTACCACTCGGAGATCAACTACGCCCCCTTTGAACGGAACTTCTACACGGAGCACGCCGAGATTAAAGCCCTCTCTTCGGCGGCCGTCGTCGACCTTCGCCGGCGGCTGAATCTTCGCGTCAGTGGCCCCTCCCCGCCCAAGCCGGTGACCAGCTTTGCCCACTTTGGCTTCGACGAGGTGCTGATGCGGGCGATTCGAAAGTTGGAGTACACACAGCCGACGCCGATTCAGGCTCAGGTAAGATCATCAGTTCGATTTGCCCTCCCAATTTCTAAATCTATTTCCACTCCACCCACCCTGCAGGCAATCCCCGCTGCCCTCTCTGGGCGCGACCTGATCGGCATCGCCAAAACGGGCTCCGGGAAGACGGCGGCCTTCATCTGGCCGCTGCTGGTGCACATTCTCGACCAGCCGGCGCTGGCGCCCGGCGACGGGCCCATCGGCGTCATACTGGCGCCCACGCGGGAGCTCTCGCAGCAGATCTACGCCGAGGCGAAGCGCTTTGCGAAACCTTATGGGATTACCGTGGTGTGCGCCTACGGCGGCGGCAGCAAGTACGAGCAGAGCCAGGACCTGGAGGCGGGCGCGGAGATTGTCGTGGCGACGCCGGTGAGTCTTCTAAATTCCACCAAATAATCCTTCGAACCTCTTTTAAAAACCCCTCTTTCCACCTTTCCTCCTCAGGGCCGCATGATCGACTTTGTGAAGGCGAAGGCGACCAACTTCCTCCGAACCACCTACCTGGTCCTCGACGAGGCGGACCGCATGTTTGACATGGGCTTCGAGGTCCAGGTTCGGTCCATCTGCAACCACGTCCGCCCCGACCGGCAGACGCTGATGTTCAGCGCCACCTTCAAGAAGAGGATTGAGAAGCTGGCCAGGGACGTCCTGACGGACCCGATTCGCATCGTCCAGGGGGAGATTGGCGACGCGAATGCCGACATCACCCAGGACGTGCATGTCTTTCGTTCGGGCAGCTCGGAGAAGTGGGACTGGCTGCTGGCCAACCTGGTCGGCTTCACCTCGAGCGGCAGTTTGCTGATCTTCGTCACGAAGAAGGCGAACGCCGTGGAGCTGGCGGC